CTGATCCCTATCGATCTTCACCGGAAAGAAGTGGCTATGAAATCGGCGGTCAGACTTCCAGAGTCAGGCCACTGGGGGACTAGACACTCTGAACATGGGTCGATCATAAATTAAATGCTATTTGGTAGGTAGTCTAGATTTCCGCTGTAACGTGCAAGTGTTATTCCCATTCACAGGGGACTGGAGAAGAGACCGTGTGGAAGATATAGAGGCTACTTCTCTATACCCCGATAGATCCCAGATAGGTTGCGGTGTGGCAGTGGGAGTCTACTGTGAGGAACTTGGTGTTGCTTGTCTCTAAGATTGGCGAAGGATACAATCATCTCCAAGCCGAAGATATAGGTATCCTCGAAGCCTTTAAAATGTTAGGCGATAGAGTCGGTTACAAGCGTAAAGCTACAATATATTATGACAGCCAGGCGGCGCTATTAGCAATAGCATTTCTGGTTACCAAATCTAAGATATTTAATTAGGGAATCCAAACTCTAACTGCGCTCAGTGTTTCAGTTAACGAACGTCTCTCTTGTAAGGCTGTTGAATTGGAGTAGTCCAGAGTGTTATTACTTTGCATTTCCTTGAACTGGCTAGACACAGGTGGTCAAACTACAACAAGACGAAGATCTTGGACCTACTTACCAGATCAAGGCCACATGTGTTCAGAATTGTAACCACCATCACGCGGCATCAACTATAGTTTTGTTTTTCACCTCAAATGAAACTGATGTCTCTTTTGGAAATATTTACAGTATTGGCCAATACAATAGCAACCCCATTTTAAAGTGATAAAAATAAATCGACCATTTTTCGTACAAATTTCAAGCCTTTTAATTAGATTTCTTAGAAAGATTTTGAGTCTGCTCAAAATTCACTTGTTGAAACTATGGTTTGATTTTTTCATAAATTTCTTAATTTCTATACTATGATAAACAATACAATGTATCCCCTTCTCCCGCTATCAAGTATCCCAGCGAGAGTAATAAAAACTTCAAACCAGCTTCCCACAATAAAAAAGGGCCAATAATAAACGTGAGAATATTTTGAGCATCCTTGAGCAAGCACACAATACATAGATACCTTAACAATTTAATCAAAAGCATCAAATTACACAAGAGAAAGAAGAAGGGACGCTTGAGATTTCATTGAAAGGAGCAACTATGCACCGAAAGCTTACACCAACATTTAAACTCACATAAAATTTCGTTTAACTTTACGTTACAAATATTTGCATATCTTAAAACGGTGTGAATTTCGTGTCAACAAACAAAAAAAAAAACTCGAACGAAAATACGTTAAACCCAAGAGCAGAGAAAAACAAACAACGAACCCAAGGAACAAGCAAAACAACAGGACATCCTGTCTCGCAAACGCGCGCGCGCGCCTATTTAGTTGCTTATAACGAGAAAACTCTTCTGGGGAACACACCCAAAACGGAATAGTTGAGCGGAAATTTTACGTGTGCAAGTGTGCGTGTTGGAAAGCGCGAAAAAGCGTAAGGATGGAACAGCTGCCAACAGCCAATAACCGGCAGCAGCAGGCTACATACAACCCCTTTACCAAACAAAAATATATGCATATTTAATTTTGTAGATTCTTTTTTCGAGTTTAGATTGCAATCAACAACAAAAAAAAAATCTCAACAACAAATATAGAGTTGCATACATACATACATATGTACATACGAATAATTTAGAATTTTTGAGGCATGTGGGAAACGAATGCAAAAGTAAAATGTTAAGTAAAAATAAAAATAAAAAAAAAATTATAAAAATAGAATTTACATGAAAGAGGAAATAAAGAGAAAAAATTATGACATTGCTAGCGAGTGGTGGTGGCCTGACGCTAACGCTGGCGTTGATGACGAAGCCAACTAAGTAATTGCGCAATGGTGACGGTGTTTATGGCGGCAGTTAGCTTTGGTGGGGACATGTCGCCATTGCCGATGGAGTTAAAAATATCTAGCGCGGTGTTAGCGGTGTTGCTAAGTGCGTGAGGTAAGAAGGCAGACAGGCAGTGACGTTGCGGTGCCGTTGACCGGCAATAAGCCTACACGACGACACACAAACACCACAATCAAATCGACAAACGGAGACAAACTCAACGGCGCTGCATTTGTTGACAGGCGCACAGCAAATATGACTATCTAAGCGGAAGATATGCAGGCACGTAGAATTGTGTGTACTAAATAAGGTTATGTGAAAAATAATAGAAACGATTGTGGCGAGTAACTTATCAGCTTGATTTATTTTTTTTCTGATATGTAGGTTAATTGAACTTGCTCTTGCAGGAAATTATCGTTGACTGACCAAATAATAGAAACAAATCGTTATGGCGTAAACTTTTCGTCACTTAGATGGCGCCGTAGTCGATGTGTTTTGAAATTTTGCATTTACGGTCATATGTTTCCAAATAAAAAATATAAAATATATCTAAGGGATCTCTAGGTAGCGCACAGTGTACTATTTTGGAGAAAGGGACAAAATCAAACATCCCATAAATTTTTTTGTTTTTGACCTGAAACCAGTATGCCATGGAGTTTTTAAAAGTTTTTAACAGATATTTTTGCTGTTTCTGTGCCAGGGAATCCAATAGCCAATTAAATAGCCACAATAACCGAAAAATGCATTTTAATTTTTTTTTAAGTTCAAGCAGTTTTTTGGTCAAAGAAAGACAAAAAAAAAATCAAAATTTTCCCTTTTAAAGGAATTTTAAAGTTTGATTGAATAAAAATTACCTTTACCTCTAAAGGTAACTTCAAAAGTATTTTTATTATTTTTTTCCTTGGCGCAAGAACAGCAAAAATATGTATGTGTTTAAAACTTTTTAAAAAGTTGCATACTGGTTTGTGGTAAAAAAAAAAAATGATTTTTGAGAGATTTTAAAAATCAAGGCAATTCTTTTATCCAGCGGGACTATTTTCCTGAATTCTGCACCTCAAAAGCTTTGAAATGCCGCTACACTTATCTCGCTATCTCTTCTCGTGATACTTGATTCTGTTGCTATTTTTCTAAAGTAGAACACTGTGTGCCGCTGGCAACAAAATATTTTAAGACATCTTTTATTTTGCTCTGCATTTATGAATGTTCAACTGATGGTTTAAATCTTGTACCGTGTCGGTTTGGAACTTAGAACAAAAATTATGTTTCCCTGCTAGAAATCTGATAAGACGATTCAAATAAGCAAAGTCGTCTTCAAATTAGTCATCTGGTATTTTCAGGAAATTCATAAGATGTATTATGAAGGAATTTCCGTCATCCCTTGTCAAATTTGGTTTGGAGACAAACCGGTTTCGGCGTTGTGCCATCTTCAGTGTCATTTTTCGTTCTGCATAATTTTGTTGCCAGAACGAAAAATGACACTGAAGATGGCACAACGCCGAAACCGGTTTGTCTCCAAACCAAATTTGACAAAGGATGACGGAAATTGGTTCCATAATACATCATACACCCACCCTGTCGGAAACAACAACAACCAAAAAGGAAATTCATAAGCTTCTAGACTGCTGAAGTGTTTTAAGACTTCGATCAATGTCTTTCGACATTACGGCTTTTGGCTTATTGTTTTTCCTGTTTAGCGCTGTAGCCGCCCAAGCGATTTTGGTCGTGTCTCTTCTGTGCTAATTGATGCCAATTGGAAAAGTTAAGGGAAGCTAACACCACATGGCCCTTCCTATACTGAGGAGGCTTGGGTATTGACGTTAGGGGTACGTTAATAAACAAAAACGAAGCAGTTAGATTAGGAGGATTAGGATTATGGAGTCGAGCATATACATATATATTTGGACTCATCACCTGCACTTAAATGGGCTCCAAACAGCTCTTTCCCCATTCACATTACCTCAAGAGTCAAGAGGTATAGTGTGGAGCCCGCCGCTGGAAAGAAAGAGCAGTGAACTTTACGCGGATGGGTCGAGCCGCGACGCAAGGTTCAGCGGATCAGCCTTTTTACGCCAGCTTTCCATCGAACTGAAATTTAGACTTACAGCTCACTTCAGTGTGTTTCCCCATCGGTGCTATCGGCCATCTAATCTGACAGCCAAGTGGCAATCAGAGATCGAGATCACTCACAAAATTAGTCGATGAATGGCTGATTTCGCTTCTGGTCGCTTCAAATTTCTCGGCACCAGATCACAGCGACATTTCAGGAAGCTGGGGGGTCTACACTGTATTGAGATTCGAAAGGCAAATCATTCGGATTGGCACTATGAATTTGTATTAGTTCGTGTCGGCTTTCGAATCGCATTGAGTTTCAAATCGCAATACAGAGTAGACCACCTGAAATGCGGATGAATTGATTGGGTAAGCCAACCTTAACCCGTTCTCACCAGGCAACAGCAGGGCGACAATCAGCGGCGGACTTGGATATAGTGGACCGCATGCCACCTCGATATATAGAAATCACGACATCTATATGGACCGTGGTGCAGCTTTTTATGCTCGCATTTTCGGTTAGGGATTCGATGGGGGCATTGTTCGATTAGAATCCACGCGGTGAAACTACAGATGTTTTAAAAATTACCTGGCGAAATCACTTTCGCGCTACGCAAATAAGATGATGTAATGGCTGCGGTGTTAGGTCTCTTTCGCTTAGCGATTAGAAAAATCCTAAAGGAAGCAATGTTCAAGTTACGCTAGTTGACGAGTATTAAAAAGTTGCCTTATTGTAAATCCCCGCTAAGCGGGCAATAGAACGACCCTCACATTATCCTCGGAGGCACAGAACCTGCACTTTGTATTGGAGCTAGTATAAAATATTCTTGGTTCTATTACTTATTCCAGCACTGTACATATAACTTATGTTTACTGTATATTTAGCACTGTAGGCGCCGACTTGTAGGCAAACGCGTGTAAACACACATTGGCATTGGCTGCTATTTTCATAGCATAGAACACTAACAGCAATTGATGCTATTTAAATATTACAACTAGGAATAAATTCTAATTCTTTATGACTACATATGCAAGCATGTATCTATGTATGGATGTAATTTTTGTATCATTTACCCCGGAAAGCAGGAAACGTATTTTCAAATTGTGCGGATATGCCTGCACTGTTGCCGTTGTGGCGGTCACCACGCTGGCGCTGCTGCTCACCGCTGACACTAAGCTACAGCATGGCGATGAACCGGCTGGTGATACGGCAATATATTCATTTGATATTGTAGCTGATAAAAATGATGACGCCGACGAGGAGGGTGATGACGATGCTGATGTCGAGTGATGGTTGTGATGGTGATTCAGATGCGTAAGATGCGTATGCTGCTGCTGCTGCTGCTGCTGATGATGATGATGATGATGTGATGCGTCACGATTATTACAATGATGATCATGTTCGTTGGCAGCGGCAACATCACGTTCATGTTCACGCTCACGTTCGCGATCACGACGACGTCGATGATGATGACGTTCACCACCATCACCGCGTTCACGTTCACGTTCGCGTCGATGATGTTTCTCGCTACGTCGTTCTTTATCACGCTTATCGCGCTTCTTCTTCTTACTCTTACGATGTTCCTTATATTCGTGCACTCCAATGTGATTATTATTACTCTCTTCCGCTTCGGCGGCATCCATGTGTTCCGTGTGTACCGCTTCGTCTATTTTTTCCATGAGTGTAAATGTCGCAGCGGCAATCGCTGGCACATCACCTGCTCGCGGACTATCCAACGGACCGGCCTGTTCGCCGCTAGTTGTGTCCATCATCATCATTTTGATGTGGTGTTAATTTTCAACTTTTTATACTTGAAATTCGTACAATAGGTAAGTAAAAATAAAAACCAAGTATACGGCGGATTAGAACGTGTGTGGGTTTTTTGTTTTTGTAATAATATTTTTTTTTTTGTTGGAGGTAGCTTCGTGTATGCGTGTTGCGCGCTGGGTCTCTGCTCTGCTTGGAGCACTCTTGGAGCGCTTTTGGCTTGTTGAATCACAGCAGTAAATACAAGTATGTAGGAGTAACGTTCTTCTTTTTTTTGTGTGCATTCAAATACATACACTCTTTTGAAGGTGCGTTTGTTTGTGCGTTGGTTTGAGCCAACTTTTTTAGCCGCTCCGTTACTGGCTCTGTGCCTTTTTCTGTTCTTTTTTTTATTAACTTTGCTGTGGCTTCTCCAGATATTCCAACTTTGTTGCTTTTTTGTGCTGTGTTGCTCAACTCACAGAGTTTTTATTCTTCTTCTTCTTCTTCGTGTATCATGTATCGTTTTACTATCAATTATGGTTTGAATACATAACCTTTTAGTGCTGTTGAGGTTGTTATTTCATTTATTTTGTTATTTATACATTTTATTATTGTGTTCACGTGCGCTTTTTGCTTCAACTCTTTACTTCGAATGCGACGATTGTGACTGCGACTGCGACTGCTTTGTGTGGTCGTTCGTTACCTTCTTGACGCGCTGCTTTAGCCAATTTAGCGATTATTTTGTATACTTTACCAACCTTTCTACATTCTTCACTGTTTTAAGCCACGCTAGCGGCTAGTTCACTTCACTTCGTCAGCTACAGTGTGGTAACTTCGCTTCTGGCTTCTTTTATTTTTTGCCTTATACAACACTAACACTAGCACACTTCACCTGTAGCAGAGCGCAGCTTTTGGGTTCAGCTTTGAGCGAATGCGAAATTTTTTTTTTTAGTATTGGATTTTTTTTTTTTGTGCCGAGCTGTGCTGAGCTGTCGCTTCTTTGAATTTATATTTTTTTTGTATCTTTTCCTGGCTTTACACTCCTCACTGTGGTGTTAGTAAAACGCTTGCACACTTGTTTTCTTTTCCGTATGGTTAGAGCATTGTCGTCTTTCACTTATTATTATTTTTTAATTTTTTGTTGAGTCTTGAGGTAGCCAGTAACCATTTTTTTAAGTTATTTTTGTGCTAAGCATATTTGCTTTTTTGTGTAAGTACAAATGTGTATTTGTATTTACTTATTCTCAAAACAAGTTATTGCTTAAAACAGACCAATCTGCCCTTGGAGACCGCTTTCCAGACCGACCGACCGTCCGACCGACCGTCCGCTCAATAGCGGCTTTCAATTGTTTCTGACGCTAATTGTTCTTACTTTTAGTGCTTCTGGTCTGCTGTTTTGTTTTTGCTGCTGCTGTTGATTCTGCCTTGATATATAGATGCGAGTAATTGTTACAATAACTGTTGTTATTGCTTATGGTATTTTCAAATTTTTATTTCTTATCATAAAACGCGACGTGTATTTTTATGGGAATTTTCGAAACACTTGTGATTATCAACGTAATTCGTAATTAAAGCGTTAGTCAAATAAACAACAAAATACGCAAGTCGCAAATTGATAAAGGAAAAGAAAGCGTTAATAGTGCTTTGAAACCCACGCGGCCTCATAAAGGCAACCGGCAAGCAAAAAATAAAAAATAAAAAATTCTGGAAAAAGAATGGCACGGAAAACATATTTAAGACACGCTATGCTGTTGCCTTATCCTGCAACAGGCAACATCACAGTTTTTCAGTTGCGCATTTTTTTTCCTTGTGCAATACGGCGGCCTCGAGCTATGCCCGTCTAAAGCCCGAAGAAGAAAAAACGAAAAAACCCCAAAAGAAATCACAAGTAATTGCTCCTTTGTGGTCAAAGCAATTTTGTTGTTTGTTGTTGTTTTTCGTTGGCCACACACTGCAAATTGTTGTTCTTATTATTGCAGCTGGCTGACAGCTAGATAGCTTAACATTTTTTTTTTTGACTCAGTTTGCCTCTTGCAGCACGAAAAATCACACAAATATGCACAAATTAAATACCAAAAACGATCCGAAACGCGAATTATGTAAAAAAAAAACACACAAAATCACAGCAATGCGGGCAACGGCTCGAACGCGGCGGCGGCGGTTTATTTGCTGCCTATTACTGGTTGTTGTCTGTCTACCAAAGCGAAAATCGCGGCTATTTGCGGCCAAAACACGGGTCCGGCACCGGCATGCAAGCACTGCTACCAAACCAGCATCCACACGGCACAGGATGGCCGGCGCGCCGACGAAAGTCCAAATAAAAGCGAGACGACAAAAATTTGGCCGACAGACGGTACAAAAAAAGTTAACAAACAAAAAAACAACTCACACGAAATCCAAAGCTAAGTACTATGTGAAACACAAGAATAACACTTTGTGTTGCAAACGAATGAACGAGCGAGCGAATGAACGAGTAAATGCACCGACCCAACGACCGGCTGACACTTTGACTTAAGTCGCTGACTAACTAACCAACAAACCGGCTGATGGTTAGCTGGCTGACTGACTGCCTGCCTTACTGACTGCTGTTGTACTGTTTGTGCTGCCTCTATTTGGCTACCGCCTGCCTGCCTGCCTGCCTGCATGCACCACGCGAGGCTGAATTGAATGCACAAACCTAAGCACATGCACTGTAAACTCCACTGGAAACTAACTATAGTGCACCATACAATATGCTACACAGCGAATGCAATTGTGACGTCGTTGTTGTTCTTGTTGTTAGTGTGTTGATGCAACAGTGGAAATGCAGGCAGTAATAGTAGCAACACCAGCAACATTTACAATAGCGATAATATTTAAAATACACATTTGTTGTAAGCGTACATTGAAATGAGTGGCGTGAACGCAAAGACCGTACGGTTTATACTGACTACACGCTAGCGTTGGGATTTGCTCAGAAGGTTGGTTGTCGCTCTATCGCGTCAACGGTGCGCCGTTGGGACGGACATCATATGCCTGATGCATGCAGTTGACTTGAATTGCCTTGCCTTTGCTTTGCCTTTGCCTGCATTCAACTGCCTATTTATTAACCAAGCCATTGTACCTTTGCGCTCAGTGCTACTCTACACTGCCGCTCCGCCAGCCGACTCTAGCCGCCCTTCCGTGTTCTTTGGGATACATGCTCTTGCTGGTGGTGGTGACGCTCTTTTTTTCACTCACTCTATGCGCTATACGCTCAGCTCTGTAGCATAAACGCATACACCGGTTATGTTGAGAATTGCCGATTACCGGCTGATGGACGGCCTAGCCTGATGTCGATTGTTGGTTCGTGGTGTTTGGAGTTGGTCGGTCGGTCGGTCCACCGTGCGTTGGCAAAGGTGGCAGTGGTAGCAGCTACTGCATGCCACACTCCTCGAAATGAATTCACCATTTTACCACCAAAGCGTACAAGTTCCTTTCCTACTTGCTTGCAATATGGCTGGCTCTTTTTTCAAATTTTCCTCTCTTCATTTTGTTTATGGCCACTCTGTAGTTATTGATGGCGTACCCGGCTACTGTTTGCATACACGTAGACGTTTAAAAAAAAAAGTATGTATGTATAAATATATGTTTCATAAAATTTGTTAGTTACACATGCTACGGTCATAGTACTCGTAGTATGTATAAATAATCGTTTCGCGGCTTGGCGATGGCGGCAACGTTGGCGCGCCCGTGTGGGGAAGAGAGTTTCAGATAGAGGTAAGTGCAAAAACAAAAAAGAGTAAGAGAGCGCGCGAACACCATGCCAGGTCTCAAGCCCAGCTCATATTTGGTTGTACTGCCTGATGTTTATTGTGTTAAGTCAAAGCAGCAAAGGTAGATACATTTACAAGTAAGTAGCTTTTTAGTAGATTGTTTGGTTTAGAGTACGAGTATGTTGTGTAGAAGCGGTGTGCTGTGGTGCGGGGTGTATCTACTCTCCATTTAGCAGTTAGCATGTAATAATTTGCACAAATACAGCTTTGTTTCGAAAAATTGGAAGCGATCTTGTGTGTTGACGGTGCCTTGAAGAAAAGTAGGCCGACATTGAAGCCTGTCTAAAAGTGAAGTAGCGTACAAAAGGGGAAAGTGAAAACACCTAAGGTTTTCGCAAGCGGAAGCCGAAAACGGCAGCAATAACTAGAGTAGTATCGATAGCAAACGAAGCAATCGTCGGAAAGCGTTGGAGAGGTGAGGAGAAACCGTGTTGTGCAGTCGTGACACTTGATGTTAAAAATGCAGCAGAATGGGGGCATATTTTAAATGCTAAAGAGGTTGGTCTAAAAAGAAAGCTAAAGAGGTTGGTTTAGAGGTGAACGAAGACAAGAAAAAGTACCGCCTGGCAACACATAAAAAGTCTTCGCCTATTGAAACACACGTCACTGTTGGCAGTCATTACTTTGAAGTAGTGAAGAACTTTTTCTACCTAGGATTCAGCATAAATACCACCAATAATGTCAGTCTAGAGACAAAGCGAAGAATAACTCTTGCCAACAGATGCTACTTTGGGCTCGGTAGGCAATTGAAAAGCAGAATCCTCTCTCGTGCTACTTTGGGCTCGGTAGGCAATTGAAAAGCAGAATCCTCTCTCGTTCTACATCTCTCATGATGTCTAATAAAGATAAGAAGGGAAATATTCTACGCAAGATCTATGGCCCCGTTCGCATGGGCGACGAGTACCGAAGAAGATGGAATAACGAACTGTACGAGCTTTTTTACGACATGGGCATAGTTAAGCGCATAAAAATACAACGATTGCGCTGGGTTGGACATGCGTACACATGGATGACGACGCTCCAGTGAAAAGATCATTTGACTCCATATCCATGGGTGGACAACGAGAGCAAGGGCGCCCGCGAACACAATGGAAGTACCAAGTGCAGAAGGATCTGTCCGCACTTGGGAAGAACAACTGGCGCAAATTCGAAAAGGAGAGAGGCAACTGGCGAAGCTTTTTGGGCTCGGCCCAAACCGACAAACGGTTTTAGTGCCAAATAAGAAGAAGATTATAAAAAGCTACCTCCATAGTGGAATCCACCAACAACATATTTTCAGTTGAGATAGTCTGAGGTAGGGCGTTCTTCAACCAAAATTCTGAGATAGGACATTTTTCATTCAAATTCTGAAATAGGTCGCCCTTTAACGAAATTCTGAAGTAGGACATTTTTGAAAAGTTTTCTGAGATAGAGCGTTTTTGAACCGGCTGCCGAGATATGTAGGTCGATTTGCTGTCAAATTTTTGCATTTAAATTCCTAATTGCTGCTAATTGTTAGAAAAAACTACTGTTTCCATTAACATCTACAGCGCTGTCAGTCGCAAAGGTGAATAAGCAAATATGTACATACATATGTACATATCAACATGTTGACTACATCTACATAGCTTACTGACTGTTGTCTTTCAGCGATTATCGAGATACGACTAGTAGACGACCGGCTGACTCGTTGACGGTTGTTTATTACAATTCGCCCGAATGCACACTCGTCCGCCCGCTTAAAGACCAGACGCAGGAAGGTCGTTAGACCGGTGAAAAGAAAATAACTAATAAAACAAAACAACAGGCAACAAAAAAAAAATTGATATACAGTCGATGTGGGAGAATACTGACTGAGTACAGTTGTGGTAGTAAGCTATTAAAATGAGAACAAAAGTGCATTTGTAATTTTAAAAGAGCAAAGAGAGTAATGGAAGAGCAAACATATTTGTGGGCAAAATGTAGTGACAAAAGTTATGGAATAGAAATAAGATTAAGATAATTTTTATGAAATTGAGAATTGCAATGAAATTGTTAGTATGTATGTCATCATAGACGCTTATAGCAGCATACATACTTGGTTAAAACAGTCTTTCTACAGTGAGAGCGCCTTAAGAGATGATGGTGTAATAACTCAACAACAACAGAAACAACATTAAAATAACAGCTGCGAGTGCATTAAAACAAGCGACACTTCGCTGCAATGCACATTGTTGTATGTGTATATGTTTGTTTGACATAATATAAAATAATACCAGGAAGAAGCATAGTGTCAGCGGCCTTTTGTTTGTCATCATTACACCGAAACTGCAACAGTGAGGCAGCGTTAAGGAACTGTTGGGTGGTGGTGATGGTGGTGGTGGCGGCAGCAATGTTGACAATGACAATAATGACGAGGAAAATGATGATGACGACAGATGTACGCACATAGTAAATATGCATACATACTTATTGGCAATTACGACGCGATGGTGGTAGTTATTATATCGTTGGCAATAACGATGACAAGAACCATAAGCAAAATTTACAAGTGAGAACAAAATGTAACATCAGCAATGGCGATAATGACGTTTAAGCCAGAGCCGATTTGGAAACAAAAATAACAAACCACAAAAAAAAAAAAACGAATTCGACTAAAACTAATCAAATACATAGATAATAGAGAGGCACAAAAAACGAAGGAAAAGCTAAAAACGAGAAACAAAAAAATAAGGAAAATACGAAAAGAAAAGCGCATAATACATATGTATATAGAATACAATAGACCATGAAGATGATACAACATTCACTGCCGGTTGCGTATCTACAAACATCAGCCAAGGCATCAAGCATAACAAAAGCAGAAATGCAGCAATGGAGAAGCAAGCAGCACAGCCACTAACTCTGCAATGCAACAAAAATAGATCAGAGATCAAAGACTGTGACTGTGACTGTGACTGTGACTGACTGACTGTGGCAATGACTGGATGAATTCGAATGCACTGGGAATGGAAATACATACATACATAGACGGCGTTTGAGGAAATGTGAAATACTGCACTGGAAAAGGGGCGATGCAGAGGTGAAAACTAAATGGAAAAGGTAAAAAATAAAGCAAACATTTGAAAAATTCTGATTCAATCTAAAGTGAAAATGATTTGCTGGTAGACAGTCGCAACAGCAAGAAGATTGACAGGCATGGACAGCCGCAAGACTGCATAATTCTATTTATATTTATTTGCTGCAGCAAATATTTTTGTATGGATTACTAAAGCAGTTTCCAAAAGGAAAGCGCAGTACCAAGGAAGGGTGTAATTTTTTAAGTTGTTTTTTTTTTTTCAAAATAATCCTACACATTCCAAATTAGGCTTATTTGAAAACGGGGTATTTTTTATTTTTTTACGTAACGTTCTGTTACGAAAAAATTCCTCAAATTCAGATAGACTCACGGCAAAAAGTATTGGAACAGAGAACTTTTCACAATATTTGCAACAAATTGTATTTTGAATTTTTTGTCCGCTAATTTTTTATAAAAATATGGTCCATACTACAAAAAAAAATATAATTTCTGAACTTTGTATAAACGCAGGAAAATTCAATAAATTTTCAACTTTTTAGTCAGATTTTTTAGAATTTTTTGAGGTTGCAGTTTTGTAGCTCAGAAATTTTTTCCGTTGATTTTTGGCTTTTTTCACGGATTTTCTTCCGTACAAATAAAAAAAAGCTCAAAATTACTCTGTATGGAAAAAAATGCGAAACACCTTCAAAAAAAAAAAATTCTAAAATCAACGCAATTTTTAAATTAAAAATTTTAAAATTTTAAATTTGCATGACAATTTTTTGCATTTTCGTGAGTTTTGCATAAAATTTAAATTTGTATTTTACCGTTTTTTGTTGTCGTATGATGAACCATATTTTTATGAAAAAATTTGCGAACAAATGTTAAATAAAAATTGTTGCATATATCTGCCACTACATTTTTCCGTGAGTGTATATTTTGCAAATAAAGCTTTATATTTATATGTACAGTGACTCCAACAAATGACCACGTATTGTTTTTTTTTTTAAAGTCGTAATATTTCTCCAGCTAAATTTTTTTTGTTTTATTTTATATATAAAAATATCGGCTAAACTTTAACCAAAACTATGTAAATAACAGTTTCAAACTTTATACAAAATTTAGGAAAATTCAACAAATTTTCATAAAAATTTCAACTTTTTATTCCGAACTCAGAAGTTGTTGGTTACTACATACCACCCACGCAGAAAAAAGCCACCCTACAGCCAATGGCGATGCGTGAGATAATTTATCTAAACCAGGAAAAAATGGGGTGTAGAGACGACGCTAAAGCGTGAGTGGTATAAGCTCAAGATGTTGGCAAGTAGGAATGCGGCGCGAAAATTCTATCAAAAACTACGACAGCAATCAAATGATTTCAAGGTCGAGGCTAGTCCCGCAAGACACAAAAACAAAGGCTTTAGTGGAAATCAGTGGAGCGTTTTGGACCATTTCCACTCTTAACGATATGCTCAGTGTCGTGCCTGATGACCTCGCGGGTAAAGTTGTAGTTGTCGCAGTCCGCTCCGTTTTTAAATCTTCCGGCTTCTTACCGGAAGCAATGGATCGGAGCATTTCGAGGCTAGCCCCAAACAGATCCTACTTTACAAACGTGGAAGAATGGAAGTAGCTGGAGTAGAGGTCGACAGATATCTTCACGGATAGATCGAA